AGAACTCAACCCCAGTACCACTTTCCACATGAAACCATCTGCACCCCCGCCTCCTGGAACATGTGCAGATTGTGCTAAAAATGTACATGCATTTCGCAATGCAGGGTCACGTTGTAAAGCCTGTCATTTCTCCACCTTCCCCGCTCCACCTCCGCCCTCACCCTCCTCCCTTTCTGCTTCTATTTCCTTGGAGTGTCAGACAGACTTTTCCATATGGCCCATAAATTAATTCCTCCTACCTACCTCCAACCCTTCACACACAGAACAACACACATACCCTCAGAGACTCTCACAGTTCCAACTGGGCAAAGTCAAGGTCTTCCTTCCAAACAGAATTTCACTCTGAAAGGAATTCTAGTGGGCCCTGTTTTCTCCATCTCACAACAGGGGGAAAGGTGAACCTCTTGGCCGAATAGCTGTGTACTCAGAGGCCATGGAAAAGTCATTATCTTGGAGGGCAGGAGTCGGGCAGGGTAAACTCAGTGGCAGAGGAAGCCGCACCTTCCCTGCGGGCTTCCACCTCTCCCCAGGCTACAGAGTCTCCCCTCTGCCAGAGATTCTTCCAGTGTGCCCCTAGAACCCATCCCCTCCTCTGTGTGAGCCTGAATCACTTTGGGGCTATTGCGATGGGTCCAGGCTGATATAGACTCTGACACCCAGTAGGTGCACCCTGAGTGTTCTGGGGTGAACAAATGAGTAAGGGAAATTCCAGTTCTGCTCTGCCTCAGATTCATCCACAAACATGGAACTAGGCTACTGTGTACCAGATTGATTTTGGAACCAGAGATGCATCAGTGAATACAGCCACCATAGAGCTTCCAGCGGGAGTCAAGAGACTCAACAGAATATATAATGTCAGGTAGTGACAGTGTTGCAAAGAGAAACAGAGGAGGTGAGAGGCAGGGAAAGGTGTAGGAACTAACTGGGTGTTAATGACCCTGGACAAGACTCCAGCCTTTAGTCCTCAATATCTTTATAAACAAAAGTGTTTAGATCCAGGATTCCAGGTAAAAATTAGACTCATGCCCAATTTCTCCTGAAATTAGCAAGTCCTAGATGTATACCTTGGAAAAGTTGCTTTAACTCTCCAAGCCTCTATATATGTAAAATGTAGATTCAGATAGACTCCTCATAGGGTGCTTGAAAGGATAAAAGTAGACTGTGAAGAGCATTGTTCCATGGCAGGTTAACGCTCCACACATGGCAGCTATATAATGCACATAATAGCGATGATGCGTTTTAACAGGGAGATTCAGAAACACATGGCTCAGAGCCTGGTCCTGAGCAGAGCTGAGTTCATCTCAGAGAGGATCTGGGTCCTCTGCGACAGCACCTCCCAGAACAGTTGGGCGCAAGCCCATATCCCCACTGCATGTGGCTCAAGTCAGCTCTGTGCCCTCGGGACAGGGCCTGGCCACACAGCCCTGAGCAACCCTCCCACTTCTCCAGTTGCCCTGTGACCTTGAAGCAGCCCTACAGGTCAGCCCCAGCACCAACACAGCACTGGCTTTCTGCACTGGGGTCACGCTCTTCTCTGGCCTCAGTCTCCTTGCCTGTGAAACAAGTCCCACTCCCCAAAAGGCTTTCCTGACCGACCCAGAACAGATGAGAAATCAACCACAGGGCCTTATTTTTCAAGAGGACGGTTCACGTAGCCACCTGGAGCTCCTCCCGCCGCAGGGGCCTGCGAGGGTCCCTAGACATGATCAAATGACAGGATTTACCCACGAACATGCACTGACTTATCAAGAGCCGATGACGCTTAGGTGTAACGTCCTCACGTGCACAAGCCTCTTGCAAGACCGGGCCTGATTTCACAATGGGGCGGGTGTGGGAAAGATCAAATGCTCCCCAGAGGTAGAAAGGGTTGCCCCTGTCTGGGGACTTGCTTTCTAGCCCTGGTTCCTGTCCTAGGGCTGTAGGCCAAGCTGAGGAGCTGACCCCACTACTGCACACCCACCTAGGTCCTGAGAACAACCTGTCCTAGGGGGACCTTGCTGGGCACTCAAGCACTGGCCCCTCGACCCAGGGAGAAGGAGATGAACTAGATGTTGCTCTGCTCCTTACTCTGCGTCCCTGAGCCCCACCCAGGACCCAAGCCCAGCTGCCCCATTGCACACAGCCAGGATCATAGGACTGATCTGGTGATCTGGCTGAAGCCACCTGAGCCAGAAACTGTCACAAGACTTACAGAAGTGGCATCACCAATATCAAGTTGTGAAGCTTAAAGAAACTCTTCTAAACTCGGTAATAAAAACAACCTGGCCAGGTGTGATAGCTCTTGGCTGTAATCCCAGCACTTTGGGAGGCTGAGGTGAGAGGATTGCTTGAGCCCAGTTCAATATCAGCTTGGGCAATATAGCAAGACCTCATCTCTACAAAAAATAAATAAATTAAAAGCAACTGCCAGGCTTGGTGGCTCACCCTGTAATCCCAGCACTTTGGGAGGCCAAGGTGAGTGGATTACCTAAGCCCGTGGGTTCAAGATCCGCCTGGGCAACTTGGCGAGACCTCATCTCCACAACAAATCAAAAAAATTAGCCGGGTGTGGTAGTGCACGCCTGTAGTACCAGCTCCTTGGAAGGCTGAGGCGGAAGGATCACCGGAGCCCAGCAGGTCGAGGCTGCAGTGGCCGGGAGTGGCCACTGCACTCCAGTCTGGGCGAAAGAGTGAGACTCCAACTCAAAAAAAAAAAAAAAAAAAAAGCAACCATTAATTAACCATGCTAGAGGCAAGAAAAGTTTATCTTTCTTTTGTCTCTATTGGAAAATGGTACTAAAAGCCTGTTGCCAGATAAGGTGGCCATCAAAGAGTATGCAGCCAAAATATGACAGGTGCATCAGATAGCTAAATAATACTAATTATTTTTGTATTATTTTTCATAATTTTACTATTATGTTTTCTGGATTTTTGTCATATTTGGAGTATTTGCCAGTCTTTGTTATTTATTGTATCCTCTCTTCTCATATTCCAAATATTTACGTCCGTACCTGATATTATTTGCAACTTTGCATTGCCTATTTTTTTTTAAGTTGAGGTCTCACGCTGTCGCCCAGGCTAGAGTGCAGTGGCACGATCATAGCTCACTATAGCCTCGACCTCCTGGGCTCAGGTGATCCTTCCACCCTCAGTCTCCTAAGTAGCTGGGACTACTGGTGCACACCACCATGTCCAGCTAATTTTTGCATTTTTTGTAGAGACGAGGCCTCACTATGTTGCCCAGGCTGGTCTCAAACTCCTGGGTTCAAGCAGTCCTCTCACCTCATCCTCCCAAAGTATTGGGATTATAGGTGTGAGCCACAGTGCCCAGCCCTGCACGCCTTTTTTTTTCTTTCTTTCTTTTTAAGCTTATCCCCAGAGCAGAGAGATACTCTTTTTCTTTCTTTTTTTTTTGAGTTGGAGTCTCACTCTGTTGCCCAGACTGCAGTGCAGTGGCCGCTCCCGGCCACCACAGCCTCGATCTGCTGGGCTCCGGCGATCCTTCCGGCTCAGCATTCCAAGTAGCTGGAACTACAGGCGCGTGCTACCACGCCCAGGTAATTTTTTGATTTATTGTAGAGATGAGGTCCCGCCAAGTTGCCCAGGCGAGTCTCGAACCCGCGGGCTCAGGCAATCCACTCACCTCAGCCTCCCAAAGGCGCGGGATTACAGGCTGAGCCACCGAGCCCGGCTGATACTTTTTCTTAAAGAGAGCCCCCTAAACTGAATCAGTATCAAGTCCTTCAATATCCTGACCGAGTTAGGCCAGGTCTGGTCTAAAACCTTTTTTCTAGCAGTATCTCAGCCTCATTACAACGCTATACTGTGCCCATTTTATAGATATGAAAACAGAGGCTCAGAAAGGTTAAGTAATTTGCCCAGTCTCACACAGCATAAAGTGATAGAGCTGGGATTCAGATCCAGTGAGTCAGGCCCTCTCTTTTAACCACTCTGTTGCTCTAGAAAACATGAAGGGCTATGCACGAGGCTAATCACGGCAGGGCCAGCTTTTCCTTAAACTGGCTGGTGAGCACTGACTCAACTCTCCTGCCATTTTCAGGCAACCCATGTGCCTGGTGTGGGGTGTCCTCATTCATAGCATCTTATTGATTCCTCACAATGGTCAATGACCTTGGCTTGGCTTTTTAGCTGAGAAAATTGAGCTTTAGGGAAGAGGAGTAGCTTACCTGAGCTCCCTGAGCACACCCAGGAGCAGCAGTGCCAGGTCTAAATGCAGACCCTCTGTCTCCCAGACCCAGCTCTTGGCATGGGGACAGCACTGGGGTCAGGAGGGAGCGTGCCTATTGTCCCAAAACCTCGGTGAACCAGCGGGCATCACTCCCGTTGGAAGAAACATGGTACAATCCATGGGAGAAGAAGTGTCTGGAAGCCGGTCTCCAGTGATGTTTTTCATTATAAGAGTCAGTGTAAACACAGACGCCGGAAAATAAGAGGCAGGTCTCAGACTAAATACATGGCCGACTGTCGCTCCAGCCATTACAAACAGCGAGTGACCTGTTCTCTCAGGCACATTTCATAGTGCCTTTTCTCAAATCCCCTTAAAAAATCAAAAGCCTGGACCCAGACAGTTTTTCCTTGCCACCTGGCCCAGAAACCACCATGAGAGGGTTTTTCCCAGAGAACCAAAGAAGATAAGTGGAAGATTGGCACTATCCTGAGATGGCTCTGCCTCCACCCACAGCTTTGCCCCCGGGCCCTGGGATTCACCCCCTGTCCTTGCAACATCACCTTAAATCCTGCAGAAAAAACTCCAGGCCACAGCCGGCAACAACCCTGTGAGATCCTGCCAAGGGGAGCAAAATAAGGCAGAACTTACAGTGAAGTCCCCAAGCCAGCATCCCGCCAGCTCCTGCTTCCAGGTCCCGCTGGGGAGAGGACTCTGTCCCCTTCCACAACAACTGTGGGGACTGGTGAGGTTAGGGGTCCCCGCGGCAGCCTGCTCACGGCCTCTCCAGTGACCCCGACGTGGCAGAAGCAAATCATTTCAACGTTTCACATACCTCATCGTCTGCTTCTTTCACCCCAGAGTAAAAGGCAAAACAACAAAGTTCTATTGAGCTCCTTTCTGCAGGAGGAGGCAAGGCTCAGAGGAAGGGAAGGTGCCGTGTTCCAACCCTGTCAAAAGAATAAACAGCTGTTTCAGGAAGAGGGGGGGTAGGCAGATCCCTCAGCAGCCAGGGGCTTTGTTCCTTGCAGGCCCCGGGAAATGGGCTGTTTATCAGGCCTGTTGACTCAGAGCAACATGCCAAGGCAGAAATGTTCCTCTCTGGGCTCGCAAACGGCCCAGCCTCCTCGCCAAGTGAAACCACCGTCCAAACCAGGCCTGGTGTCGGAGGAGGGAAGGCCACCACCCTTGAAAAAGATGCACAGAGCTGGGCTCGGTAGCTCGGCCTGTAATCCCGCGCCTTTGGGAGGCTGAGGTGAGTGGATTGCCTGAGCCCGCGGGTTCGAGACCCGCCTGGGCAGCGAGACCTCATCTCTACAATAAATCATAAAATCAGCCGGGCGTGGTAGCGCATGCCTGTAATTCTGGCTACTCGGAAGTCTGAGGCAGAAGGATCGCCGGAGCCCAGCAGGTCGAGGCTGCGGTGGCCGGGAGCGGCCACTGCACTCCAGTCTGGGTGAGAGAGTGAGACTCCAACTCAAAAAAAAAAAAAAAAAAGAAATTCTTCAGTCACATTTAACTAGACTAAACTATTCCTAAGTTTCTAATGGGTTAACTTAAAGAAAATATTACTTATGGCAACCTTTTATTAAAATGTTTTTTTCTTTTTATTATTTTGTTTCTTTTTAAACTGTCAAATACTCTTTTTGTGTTTTGCTACCTGTCAATCAGTATAAAAATGAGAGTAAGATTTATCATTATGGATATTTCCAGGGGTGGGCTTTGGAAAATAAAGGAGTTTGGTTGGTGGGTTCTCTCTGGAGGTTTGATAAATTCATAAGAACTACCTGTAACAGTTCTCCACAAAAGGAGGAATATATGTACATAATAATAGTCATTTCTTTGAGTGCCACAAAGTGCGTGGCATGTAGTATGTTATCTCAGTATCCATCTAAAAATCTTACTACTTATACTATTCAACGGAAAAGGAAACTGAAGCTCAG